TGTTTTGTAATCCAACAGTATATATTTGAAACAAGAAAAGTTGTTCAAAAACGTCGTTAAGAACGTATATTCATTATTTGTTTAGTCTAATTATAAGTATATTTACTCTATAACTTCAAAATTCTTTAAAATATGTAATTTGTAAATTCGGTTTCAGATACTTATAGTATCATAATCACACTTGGATTTATGTTTTTCCTATATGCGTATCCTTCGGCTCTGTTAGTTAAATGGAATTTAAATGCTGCCATTTTTAAAACTAGCCTTTTTCGTGGTCAGCCGAATAAAATTATTATTATAAAAAAAGAAAAATATGTAGTGATTTTAACGAGTCAAGGTAGTATAATTTCTCGGCTCCCGCTAATAATTAATAGTAATAGAAATGAAGAACTGAGTTTATTATTTTAAACTACTTAGCTTTTTAATTAATAACATATAGATTAAATTTAAAACGAAAATTAAATATCTTACGCTTGCCGAGGGATAGGTGCGTCGAAGATAAAAATATTTTATAGTGGGCAGTGGTAGCACATTTCTTTTAATTCGCTGGGTTTGTTGAGTAAATTTAAAAGACAAATGTGTTTCACTTTTCCGAGTGACAACACATTTCTTTTAAATCTCTGAGATTTCTGATTAAACTTGAGACATAAATATCTTATTCTTAGCAGAACGGCAATGCATTGCTTTTAAAAAGCCGAATTTGTTAATCAAAATCGGATTAATTTCTCACAGAATACGTAATAAATAAGACTTAAATTAGAAAGTTGGGTTACGAGATTCATATGTTCAGGTGGAGAACTATAATTCAAAATGTAGGTGCCGCAGAGTTTTTTCGCAATGTCATAAATACACATACAGAACTATAGATTCATCATTTTTAATAATACAGATAAATACAGAAAGTATCAGCATAAATTATAAATTATAAATTGGATTACTTTTTGAATATGATGCCCCCTCTGCACAACACATTCATCTAGGCGGCGTTGGAAGCTTGCCATAACTCGGCGTAACGTATTCCCTGGGATATTGCCGACGGCAGTTCGGATGCGATCCTCCAACTCAGGAATGGTGACACAAAGTGTTCAGAAAACTTCTTGCTTCAGGTGCCCCCAAAGTTGGCACATGAAAGATCAGGTGAGCGAGGTGGCCAGGAAATGTCACCAAAATGGGAAATTACTCTACCTGGAAATGTCTGTCGCAATGGTCCGTCCATCTGGAACTTTCCCATAACGTCCCAAGTTGAAATGTTGCCGAAATAGACGCTGAGTAGCAATAATAGAGTAGTTATTCTTGAAATAGCTTTCAACAGCAAAGGCACGATGCTGTTCACTCCAACGATCCATATCACTGTCACACTCGAAATAGCAGCTCATTAGTACACAAATGCGGCACGAGCTGGCGCGGATTCATGCCCTGTACATCGTAGCGACTTCCGTACTCAGTCTTCTTCAAAGAATCGTCTACTGTAGTTTCAGAATATTTAGTGTGATAGTTCATGAACTGTATAACATGAATTTTCAGAAATAGCTTCTTCTAATCGGTTTTTGTTTACAGAAGATGGTTGTACAGAGGGGGTACCATGTTCGGGGCTGAAATTTTCCCTCTTAAACTCCTCAAACTGCCTTCGCACTATCTCATCAGAAACAGCACTTTGTCCATTTATGGCATAAATTTTGCGAGTAGTCTCACTAGCATTTTTTCTTTTTTAAAATAAAAGAGCATAATATGATGGAAATGAACTTTGGGGTTCTTCGTTCTTAGCACCGCAGTGAAACACAAATTATACCGTAACACTTGCTAGAATTATGTAACGGGAGCAAAAAAGATCATGTTTAAGCACGTGAATCAAAGTCACTGCTTACCAGCTGTAACAAAATGATAACGCGCTTCGATTCGAAAAACCGCAGAACTTTTTAATATATAATTTTACTTATAAACTTTCCAATATACAATTTACAGCTTCTTTTACCATAACTGACAACTTTAAAAATGTTTTGAACACGATTTCCAAGTCTCCCAGACGGTATAGTAGTTAGGGGAGCCTACTTATGGCACCGAAGGGCTCCGGTTCGAATCTGGAGAAGATATGGATGTTTGTATATGTATAGTGTCAATGCGGCATGGCGGCACTCTAAATATGAGGCGAGCCGAAAGTCCTCTCTTATGGATTTGTGGAAGGGCAGAGGGGTAGAAGACAGGCAGATTCCCCCCCCGGGGTACTCTTTCTCAAAATTAGGGTGGAAAATAGAACTCCAACCTCTCTTTTGAGTATGCTCTGGCAACCATTGTTCCATGTAATATGGACAAGACAACAACACGATTTTCCGAACTCAGATTCTAAACTGAATTCTTGGATTATCTTTAAAAGATCTCATTTTGCTTCAGAGATCAGAATTAATGAAATAGCATGGCTTTTTTTAAAACTAGATATTTTTGATGCGGTATCTGCTGAATTTATGTACTTAAATACTAAGTTAGAAGCTGGCCCTTTTTAAACACCCTTTTAGTCAGAGAGGCCTTGTGTGCTTTACCAGACTCCACCTAGCATGACCCCAGTGGCGTAGCTAGGGTGGGGCAAGAGGGGACATCTGTCCCCGGGCGCAGCCTCCAATGAGCTCCAAATTGATGGTACGAAACTTTAGAATGAAGTGTTTTCCATTCGTAGCGCACAAAAAGGGGCTCAAAATCTTCAGTTGTCCCCGGGCGCTTCAAACCCTAGCTACGCCTCTGCATGACCCAATCTTACCTTTAAAATACCTACATCCAATGATACTTGCATTAATTTTTCATGAACTGGAAATCGAGAGTATCTAGATGATACTTTATATCTTCATTTAATTGTGGTACTAAAAGATCTTCTATTTCTACTATGAAAATATATCATTCTGATAAATTAGTTGTTGAAAAGAAAGGTTAGTAAATCATATGTTCTTTTATTAAGTGATTTAACAAAGTATGCGTTCTTTCATCAACTGACATTAAGTATGATTTATTACCCTTTCTTTTCAACTTGGCTTTATATTCTATTAATATATTCATTATTTATAATTAAATTTTCGTAGTTGTCAAGAACATTTTTCGTAAAGAAAGATATAAGCCTTCTTTTATTTTTGTTTGTTTAATTCAATGCGGCAAACGCACGAGGGCTATTTGTTTAAGGAGAAAAATGGAAAATGCCTGTTGACGGACTTTACAAGCGAAACAGGCTCGTATTTACCTTTCACGTGGTAATATTACGGAAACATTGCAAGTACATTTGCCGGTATTTGACATCAGCTTAATCTCTGTATTAAGCTTGAAATCTTAAGCACTATATTTAAAGCTTTTGATCACAATGCTTTATTTACATTTTCGTTCCCTTGAAGTATTAAGTTCCACGAACTCATACATAAAATTTTAAACTGATTTGCTTAAACAGCTTATCAGAATCAACTTACTGTAATAATTTATCATTCAGCGCCTTATATAAATTTTAGTATCGTATAAATACGAAGTAATAATAATGAGGTGAAAACTATGTAAAATATGAGGTAATGATTTTTGGCCCATTTTAAATATTAAATCATTCACAATTAATTAAATATGTGATTTCATCTAAATATTGCTTAAAGAAAATTACGCGAGTAGTGCAAGTGCTCAAGAATATACAGCCCTTTTATTGATTTACATTTCTTACTTTAAAACGGTGCTCTTCGAAACATTTCGCTACTGAAAATTTATTATCATAATTTATTTTTAAATGTACTTCTAAAATTTTGTAGCTAATCTGTAGCTTCTCCTAATCTTTCACCTGAAGCAAGTGCCTCACTTGCCTTATCCTTGTCCCAGGTCTGATATACACCTGTTTATAAATTTAAAATATTAAATGAAATTAATGCTAATATAACAAAAATTTTCTCTTTTATAAAGGTTTGAATTGATACCCTGTTCTTGTACGTTAAACAGTCATTCACACGAAGTTCGACAAAATTATTTGAACTAAAATGAAATAACTTTTCACAAATTTTTGAAAACAAAAATTTTTACTTACGTTGCATTTCAAGAAAACACGTACACATTCCTTTGCGTGTATTTTCCTGGTAGCTTTTTCAACTTTTTCCTATATGATATTAACTTCACGTAAAGGAACATAAAAGTTATTTACTACTTGATCTTCGCTTGATATTTTTCGAAGTATATATAATTATAAATATTGTAAGGATTATGTTAATTTTATTAACAGTTAAATTTTAAGTTCCTTTCCTATCAAATTCTTAACTTCAACTTACTACTTCCGGCCAGAACGTAGTTTTGGAATCTTTCTGAATTTTAATGAGGAGGAGCGGTATTTAAACCGCGAAGTTTACTTGCAGAGTTAGAGAGAATCAGAGTTTCTGATTTACGCGCGTCTGCCTTTTTGACCACTCTCTCTCTCAAAGCTATTATTACGCTCGGCCGTACTCAGGCCCTTGCTAAGCTTCGTAGTCAAATAAGTTAAGGGGCCAACTCGATTTGAATCTTGATAGTTTCAGTTACATTTCTTTTTAGTTAATCTTAGTTTTAGTTTAATTCTTAGTCTCTTAAGTTCAAGCCCAAATGTCGGCTTTGATTGTACAGTCCAAGACGGAGTTTTGTTAAATCTTATTGGAATAATAAAGGGTTAGTTACCCTACCATCTTGCTGTTTCTTGACACACGAACTTAAGCGATTATTCGCTAGCTAGTTCTTAAGATTCGTCACTTTCTACAGTAACTGAGAATTACACTAAGTGAAAGTCTTAAATATATATATAAGAAAATTCAGTCGTACTGACCTCGTTAAGCCGAATTTAATTATATAAAACAATACTATATAAAACTGCCGAAACACATTCTGGTGAACGTTGAAAATAAAATTGATGGAAACACAGTTCTTAGTATTTGAAACTCTATGATTTCCTTCAAGTTTTTATTTAGAAAAATTTGCATTTTGGAGTTTTATGAAACTTTTTAATGAAATTTAATCATGTGATATTGCAGGTTTTCAACATAAGGAGTTTTCCATTATCCGAAGGAAGTTTCAAGCCATTTTAGTCAAAAAACGAAACCAAAAGTATAAGAAAGATGTAAATCAATTTGATTGTTTATGCCGTAACATCCTTCCATGACCGTAAGTACGTTCCATGTGTAATTCTTCAAAAATTTAATAATATAGAAACATATTTCAAATACGTTTTCTCTTAAACTTTATCTTTTCCATGAACAACTTATTTGGATAGTAATAATAACATTTCCTTTCTGAGTTAAAAATTTCAGCAGTAATAAAAAATAAAATTCATTCCAGAATTTTAAATACTAAATTATATTACAAAAGTACAAAAGAAGTGAAATTTTTTGGGTTATAATCTGAGCCGTTAAGATCGTATTTTAGGGGTTGGACATTGAAACTGCGGTTCCTTCATATGGAGTGCAATTAATTTATTAGTACATGGTTGGCCTCGTTTTCGGGTCATTACCACATGGATTCTTCTTGGAAATAAACTATCCCATCTTGTTCAGCCGTCAAAAGTATTTTAGGATTTCCTCCTGAAAATAGGAGGCTATTTACTTCATGATGGTAGAGAAGGAAAGCGTCTTCTATTTCTATCCATTATCAGTATAAATAATTAATGGATTTACCTGTGCATGCTTTCTTGATGTAACTGGTACCACACCGCGCTAGCATTAGATGATCCGTGGCTCAAATCTCCGCCAGGGAATAATCAGTTTTTTATATTTCCTGTCCGAAAACCTTTGTAGCGTATCCAGGATAGACTCAATGATGTTCTGATCAAGGGATTATATACGGTATGGAAGACTTTCAGGCTCACTTTCATGTTCTTCAAGCCACTATGTGATCTGTTTCGTGAAATGAACTTGCGCATTGTTATCGTGATACAAGACATATTGTTTAAGATATGCAGTTTAAACAACTATGTGAACTTGTTGGTAGTGATGTGACCTTCAAGAACAATCAGCGTTACAATAGCTTTCTACGAGAAGTGGCTCAAACAGTCACCAAAGAGCATCCATGCTTCACTCTGGGAACGAGACAGTTGGGATCATATGCGTCTGAAGGGGGGAGCTACCCAAATATAAACTATTACCAATGGGAGGAAAGATGATGAATGTGGACACATCTCTGAATAATCCACATTTTTCATAACTGTCCAAGTGTAGCGTTTCTGATACCACCGAAATCAGCGTTTAATATGACAGGTGATTAGCAAAATCTTTGGAAATTAGTGAGTTTAAGAGAATGATAATATCTGACATAATTCAAATAATCTTTGTTTTATGTTTTTTTTACTACAGTTATTCTTAATCTAGCATTCCTATTTCTTCTTTTTTTCTAGCATTACTTTCAAATAACTTCCTTTTACATGAACAATAGGCAAAATATCTTACAAAACATTTTACGGACAATGAGTTCTGATATGTTTGCAGTGTATACGATAGGCTGTGGTTTATAAAAGATTTAACCTGCTGTGTTGTGCGAAGTGTTTTCAGACGAAGATGTACGAGGTTTCGAATTGTGCGGTTCTTGCAAATCCAGAGTTACGAAAGGGAAGAGTAAGTCCATGCATTAAACCCCGTCGGCAGTTTGGGAGAGGCAATTTTTATTATCCGCGTAAAGATAGAATTATATCAATGAACAATTTATCTACTTCATTTTGCTTAATTGTTACACTGTTAATTTCTTTAAAAAATTGGCGTTATTAAATTGTTCATTGAGGATAGCTAATGCTTCGTTTTATTTATAAATATTCGTTTTATTTTTGAACATTTTGGATTTATTTTTCCTGAAAAGATTATAAATTTGTTCATTTTATTTATTATATATACATAGACTGGGGCCATTTTTTGTGTCTTGATACTGGAGGAGGAAGTGTTTTAAAATGCTGTTTAAATCACCCTCGTATCATACTGCTACCTAAAGTATCCCCGCCCTCTTTGCCACTTTGATATGAAACTGGAGCATGTAACAAACTGATTTCTAAGTACATATTTGTAGTTTTTAATGATGTTGCAAACTAGTTCATTGCAAAATGTGTATGGTTATTACATATGCTTGAGAGAAATGAAATGTTCAAAGTATTTATTGCTGTGTTCAAGGCGTCATGTAAACAAGTTCTATGGCAATTCCCCTGAATGATCATGACTGTTTATAACCTTAACACATCGCCAAAATGATATCCGTGCTGAGTCGAGCCATATGGAATTGAGTGTCATTCAAGTGAGAAATTTTATTGGAAAAGAAGAAATGAATATATAACGAAACGAAAAGATGCATAAAATAACATAAAAAATTACATGAATACGTTTTAAGAAACATGATACAGCACATGTTGTAGAGTCCTTAGGTTTTATTTTTATGCTGGAGACGTGAAAAATATGCAATGCCCTCGCCGGGACTCGAACCCTGGACCTCTCGAATACGCTTCGAGTGAACTTCCAATTACACCACGAAGGCATGCGGAAAGGAGGGAGAAAATACCTTATATACTCCCTTTTTTTAAGGGCGACTGAAGATGAGGAGACCCAGTCGCCAAATCCTGATGGTGGCGAATTACCGTCTGCCATCTTTTAGTTCGGGCGCCACTGTAGAATAGTTAGGTTATATCGATGTAGGAACTTGACAAATTCTTTTTCATTTTCAATTTTTTTTTAATATTCACTTGCATTGTTTTCTTCGTTTCTGAATTTATTAACACAAATTAAATCCACGTTGATTATGGTAATTGAATCACATACAACCAAATTATAGTAATTTAGAAAAGAATTCCTTTACCATTATCTTAGTTCATGTGATTTGAAATGATTTTAAAGAAAGACTGAAATAGTTACGGAATACGAAAACCTATATTATTTTTTCTCTTCACTAGCGTATGAAGAAATTAGCAGAAATTAAGACATACAAATTACAAATTGTGATATACGATCGTATCTGCTGGATTCAAAAAATATAAATGTTTGAAACTATAGAGTTATGTGATCGGTTTATGTTTTAGATTTTTATTATTTAGATTTGAATATTTTAGAACATTTTTAATCATTGTGGAAACCTATGAAAATGAATCTATTTAATTAATTTAATGAAATTTTGTAATAGTTCTGACAGTTGAAATGTTAAATATACGGTCAAAATATGACAGATAGAGCAGTTTTTTGCTTCGAACGTAGAGTTGTTCTTTTATTTATCTCAAATTTTTTCCCAGAGGCTAAAAGAATTAAACGAAGTGAATTCCGAGTAATTCTGATTCGAGCCAAGAAAAAAATATTGAACAGTTGTTATCATAGGAGGTAAAGCCCTATTAAATGGCAACTTGATTCATGTACGAAAAAAGTTATTCCCACAACCCCGCATTCAATTTATGAAACCGGAACGGGTCGAAACTGAAAAAGGGGCAACCGTGATTCTAATATGCCACATCTGATACCTTAATCTCTAGCCTCCTATTATCTTAAAAGTACATTTTTTACTTTCTTCTGAAAACGCACAAGGCATGAATTTTTAAGTAATCTTCAAAACCCCTATCTTCTATTTTCATCAAAGATCTGAGGCGGACATATATGTATACATAACTCTGGCTCCTTTTGTTTCCGATGTTTAAAACTTTTATCCACTATCTTTCTCTGTTTAAATGTTTGTCTCTAATATTGTAAAATATTATCATCTCTAATATTAGAGACAAACATCTCTAATATTTTACAATATTAGAGACTTAAAGGTAATTCGTAAGAGCTCATAGCTGCACATACGTGTAAATAGCTGAATAAATGCTACATAAATTTTACCAAGAAATGCTTTTTCACTAACAACTTCTTTCAAGAAAATGAAAATTCAGGTACTATTTCGAAACAAATATTGTTGAAATTTACTTACCGAAAATGCGCAATGTGGAAATTGAACCTCAATTTCATTTCAGTAATTTTATTACTTTACTTTCATCAATTCGCTGACATATAAATAGCTTTAAAATCTAGGAAATAGGACTGTACATGAAAACCTCTCATTAAAGTTCTGTGTGAGCGATAATCAGCGCGATTAAATTACATGATAATGTTTCTGCCACTTTACGCAAGTGATTGATCATTTAAGATCATCATTTCCTTATGTTACGAGGATATTTTGTTGCCAATATGCAGAGAAAGTTTTGCTTCAGATTCGTCAGTATTATTAAACTAGGTATAAAAACTGAAACATGAAATTTATTGCACTGAAGAAAAACTGTGCAACAGTCGAAATTTCTAATCGTCTCTCCCGCCCTCGAGCGACCTCTTAAGTTCGAAATTCATGATATATAACCTGAACAGTTTTATAAAAATATTGAAATATTTTGAAAGGCAATTTACTTTTGTGTATTAGCTCATGCTGTTCTTTCAGTGCGATACGTTTAACCGTCACATCAGATTTTGATAAAGAGCAAAATTATCTTTTTTCCTCCAGTAACGAACATTAAAAATCTTTGATATTTTGAAGTTTAGCGAAACCAAAAATGTGCTCAAGACTGAGTTAATTGCAAACTTGATCACATTAAGTATTCTAAGGTAATTTTGCTGATTCTGATAAATAAACTCAAACAGCTATCTTGATAGAGTAATTACCAGAATAAAGATAACATCGAACATGAACGAAGCATCTTTATTTAACTTTTTGTAATGTAGCTCTGTCAAACGTTTAGACAGCGTTTAGTGTTTCAACAGCTTATTTTTAGTAATTGTTGATGATTTCATCCTTTATCACAGGTTAGCATTTTGTTTCTAAATTTATTATAACTGGTATGTGTGTTATAATTATTTCGCTGCTTATTGTATTCGCTTAGTCCGCATTAGTTGAAAGATTAATTGTGTTAACGCAGGATTTTCTCAGATTGCATTTGCAACTCTTAATTACAGTGCTACATTTCTTTAATAAAGAGCTATAAAACATAATCACTAAACACTATAATTTAAGGATCATAGTTGAAACAAATTTTTTAATGTTGAAATTTTGCATTAAGCATTTTCCTTTCTTCCTCGAGTTTTAGGAATATCGCTGCTGATTAATACAAAAATATGTTGCTTTTGCAGGCTTTTTACAGGCTTCTTGTGAAATATGATCAGAACTCTAGTGTCCCATTTTTATGCAATATCTCTGAAGAACGAATCGAATAAGCTATTTGTTTTGTTACTGACAACATACTTTTGTGGTAAGTATATCCGCAATTTAAAAAAAAGTCTTTAATGTAAGCCCTATTTTTCCACAGGAGCATGTGTTCAGTTCCAAAGAAACTCAATGCAACGTATGCTTACAGAATGCCAAAAACATAAAAAGAATAAATGTTTCTTCTTTAACCATTCTGTAAATTAAGAATGACTGTTATGTTTTCTGATCATGAAGGGTACGCCAAAAGCTAATATTTGAGCTAGATAATTGACAAGCCATCGTTCTCTCAGAAAATCATTAAGAAAAATGGCGTGCTTTCCGCTTTCATATGTTCATCATATTATACTTCGGAAAATATCGATTCAAATTCCTTTCTCTAATGTACATATATGTTTTACACATTTAAAGCGAAAATTAATTTGATACTGAATTATTTGCTTATGAATGTAAATAAAAGTATTTTGAAAATTTCTTCGAAAAAGGTTATAAAGAAAATCACAATGAAATAATAAAACGAGTGACCTTATGGTGATTGCAAGTAAATAATACTGCCGAGAAAAACGATATTTTTTTTCTAAAATTTGCAGCAAACATTACTTGGACATCGTAAACAGCAATTGTTTGAAAGGTATTCATTGTCATATAAATGATAATTAAAAGGAAAACAAAGCTAGTGAAAACTCATGTAGTAATCTCCAATTTTCTTTATGCCTCTTCTTTAATTTATTGCTGCTTTACTTAATTATTCATAAATTATAACTTTGAACTAAATAACTTAAATATTGGGAAGATTTCTTAGCGGTTTGTATTAAATAAATAGTAGGGATTTTTAAATAGTATCCTGTTTCGAAATAACTTATTTAAAATAAACCTTGAAAACTGGTTGAGAGTCGTTGATTTTGACTGCAACGAAGACCTTTAATTAGTAAAAGGAAATATATGCGCAAAATTTTAATTTCACAATTTCAGTCTAATTCTAAAAATAAATAGCATGCAGATAGATCCATTTCATAACATAGGTCCATCTTCTACAGGAGAAAAAAAGACACTTTTTTTAAAACCCTAAGCCAATCTAAGGTTGCCTCTTAACCTAACTTTAAATTTTGCATTGGCATGTTTCTCTCATTTATTTTCCGTTTGCTTTCCAATACGGTGTTGCCAGAACATTTTCAACTAAAATAGAAGGAAAAGCATGAAAAAGTAACAAATGGCGTCATACATAACGTGATAGGATGCCATAATTATGTAAGTTCACATAACCTCTGACGTCAGCACAAATTCCCTCTCTATTGGTTCCGTAAGCTGTAATTCGATTCTTAGTCGCTTAATTATGTATCTTAAATTTGACGAAAATTTTCAAACTTTATTGCTCATTGTCTATTGTTTAAATACTCATTTCTTTCTTTAATAAACTCTCATTTAATTTAGGTTTCTACGTTTAAATTAATTTGTGCATACCCATTCTTAAGTGATTCCTCGCAGTTATATTGTTAGCACTTTTGTACTAATTTTTTTGATTTGGCAGTTAATTTTTTTCATTCATTGTTTTTTGCTTAATTATGAATGCTTTAATTGTGAGCAGCTTAACTGTGAATGCTTTTCAGTGAATTTTCCATTCTGCTTGGTGGGCTTATTTCACTTTATCATATAGAGACATTAGGTATTTTTTTAAAGCAGGAGTGATGAAAAATAAGCAACGCCCTCGTCAGAAATCGAACCACAGACCTTTGGAATATGCTCCCAGAGTGCAGACCACTGCACCACGAAGGCACGCTTAGAAAGCGGGAGAAATACCTTATATACTTCCCCTTTTAAAGGGCGACTGAGGTTTTTAGGGGACCTAATCGCCAAATCCTAGGCGTGGAGAATCATCATCCACCATCCTTTTGGTTCAGGAGCCACTGTAGAGACATCTCTCTTCGGGAGCCAATGTAGAGACATTAGGTATTTTTTGGAAGCAGAAGAGAGGAAAAATGAGCAACGCCGTCACCGGGGGGGGGCGAACCACGGACCTCTGGAATGCGCGTCCAGCGTGCAGACTACTACACTACGAAGGCACGCTAAGAAGGCGGGAAAAATACCCTATGAAAACCTTGTTTTTTCACTGTTAAATTTGTTTCTGATGTTATTTTGAAAAATGTCGTTGCTTTGATTTTTAAGTCATTTCGATCATTTAGTTCTGACCAATATTTTAAAGAAGAGAATGACTTTCATTTCTTTCTCTGTTTGCGTACCCAGTCTATGACACAGTCTATAAATTCTTAAGTTCTATTCGTTATTACCACAGAACTGGAAGAGAAACTGATTTGAAAACCAAATTTTTAGAGCATTAAAGGTACAATCATGCTTCATAACTTCAGAAACATTTTTTGCAAACTACAATTTTGCAGCAAATTTTTAACTTTTTTATAAGATTTTAAAAAGTATAAAAAATGTCGTATTGGAATTTTATAGATACTATACCAGGGATTCTCAACCGGTGGTAGGCGTACCACTGGCGGTAAGCAAAGAAACAAAGTATTTTTAACTATTAAATTCAAAAATATCGTGAAGAAAAAGAACTATTGATAGAAATTTCCAGTGATTGAACTCTAACTGAAGATTTAAAAAATAACACACTTGTTAACTTTTGGCTGAATCCAAGAAAACAATTTAAAGGCGTTTCAAATAAAGCTGTTATAAATTTTTACTGCCTTTTTGCACAAACTACTCGTATTTGTGTTAGCAAGTATTTTCTTGCACGTTTTATTTGAAAAAGAAATACAGAACAAAATTAAAATTGGATCCTAAATTACGGTTAAAGTTAAGTGAAGTAAAACCAGACATAAAGAAATTGATCTCTCTTAAACAGGCCCGAAATTTCACACTAAATTTTAGAATTAAAGTATTATAACTTAAATTTTGATAATAAAAATGGTAACTAATCTTTAATCTAATATTTTTATGTGTGCATATTTAATACAAATGGCCAATAGGTTGTGCAAATGGCAATATTTATTTATTTTAATGTTTCTTTTGAGAAATAAAAAAATATTTATTGTAAAATGTATTGGTGGTACTAAAGTGTTTCAATTTTTGTTTAGATGGTACGCGTTAGTCAAAAGGTTGAGAACCGCTGTACTATACGATAGTAATTCCGATTACAAACAGACATTCATGTCTCAACTTCTAAAGTTTTAACTCTATTTTGCTTAAACACCATGCATCAGTTATAAAAGTGTCTCATTTTAAATCTAATGAATTAGCATTTGAAATATATTATAGAATAAACATATTGTAATTATAGAATAAACATATTATAATTATAGAATAAACATATTCTATAAATATATTATAGAATAACCACAGTAAATACTCTCTAAGACAACCATTCATGATTCCAGATAATTATGATTTTCTGGGGAGGTAACTGTTTTCTAGAGCTAATATGTTCTCATAAATCCAGGCCAGTCTCAGATACGATTGTCTCGAAAGAATTCACCATAATCATATTCTTATCTGCTGTAAAGAAATCTTATCTAGTGTCATAGAAAAATAATTTTTTTGTATTGAATTAATCCACTTTGTTTGGTCTATATGGTATTTGGATCATACAGAAATGATTAACACAACGGCTCTCACAACGAAAGTATTACACTATGCGAAAGGAAAACAAATTAAATTGAGACAAGTGGGCGTGACAGGACAAGACAATGCATAGATGGAGCTAGCCCCAAGCCCCCCCCCGAACGGTCAGCGCCCGTCCCTTTCGCCGTCGTCATTGAGAACGTGGACAGCAATGATGGAAAGTGATTATCACAGTCAGCGTTGGACAGCTTGGTTCCTATGGTAGGAAGAGATACAGGGTAATCAGATCCATCGTCGCATGGTGTCGGTGTGCGGGAAAACTGTATCCCGTATCCTGGGGAACTGTATCCCGTTGTTTGGCCAAGTTCAGCAGTGGAATGGAGACCGCAGCCAAAGGTGTCAGCGTGGGACGACCAGCAACATCGCATACAGCAGCAAATGTGGCAGCCGTGTCGGATTAGGTCATGGCGAACAGGCGCATAACGCTCAACAAGATGTAGAAAGGGACAGCGCTAGCACAAGAAACATTGCAGGCGATTGTGCATGATCATATGGAGATCGCAAATGTGTGTGTAAAGTGAGTGGAGTTCGAACCAAGACCTCGGACTACACCTTGCTTGACAACATTAAGGGCGCAGTCAGGGGCCAACATGTTGAATCTTCTGCCGAATTGCCTGCAATTGTCCATAGGTGGTGCACCAACACCTCACAGACTGGCTTACCAAAGCCCTTCGGGATCGCAAATGTGTGTGTAAAGTGAGTGGAGTTCGAACCAAGACCTCGGACTACACCTTGCTTGACAACATTAAGGACGCAGTCAGGGGCCAACATGTTGAATCTTCTGCCGAACTGCCTGCAATTGTCCATAGGTGGTGCACCAACACCTCACAGACTGGCTTACCAAAGCCCTTCGGGACCTCCCAGCCAGATGGCAGAATTGTATTGACATGGGCGGGGATTATTTCTAACTGATGTGCTATCAGTCTTTTTGTTAATAAATTGTATACCGCTCTGTGGCAGCATTGTGTCATTTATTTCTGTACGAATTTATTTCTGTATTTATCGTGATAAAATTTTTCTTCATTTTAAAATAAATCGAATGGAACTTGAACTGAAATAATATATATATAAGCTCTCTGTAAGCATGGATGATAAGGGTATGAAATCAATACAGCAAATTTCTTTTCTTCCAATGACATTTTTATTTGAAGTATGAAATTTAGCAGTTCCAAACATATTCTATTCCGAAGTTTGTGTTTGGTAGAAGTGTCTCTTAAAAATACTCTTTCTGCAGTTGCATTAGTTATTGGCAAACTGTAACGTTTAAAGCAAATTCAGTATATCTTTTAAAGCAGGATTGCCAAGAGAATCTTTAACATTAAAACCTTAGTTCTAAAATAATATACCATCATTTGGAATTCCCGAAAGAAAAATATCATTCCAGTCAATGTTGAGTAGTTGGCTCTACTGGTTATC